GTCCCCCCGGCCTCTGCCATGAAGCGCCTGCATTTGTGTCGCTGCTGGCTGGCAGCGCTCCGGCCGAGCGCCGCTGGGCTGGCAGCAAAGCCCGGGCTGCTGCGAGCCCGCCAGCTCCAGCCCTGCCCTCTGCAGACACCCAGCAGCAGGTCACCAGGCTCAGCTCAGCCGTGCCCAGGAGGCCGCGCAGGGAAGGGAAAGGAGAGAAATAGCACAGGAAAAAACCCCCCAAAGGCTGCAAATAGAAACTAGGAGCAAGGAAAGCTTTTTCCTGAGAAAAAAAATAAAGCCTTGCCCTGGCTGAGGGGACAGACGTACACCATGGCCAACGATTAATTTGCAAACTGGCTCAAATGTGGTGAAGTGTGGCAGGAAGGAGCTGTGAAACATGGCAGTTCTAGAAGGCGAGATGGTAGAGCAGATGAACCCAAGTCTTCACTGCAGATCACACCCCCTCCCCTTATGGCGGCTGCATCTCCTCCCAGCTGACTCGGGCAGCGTGCTAGAGCCTTAGCAGCTCACAGGGTCTTACAGGGTCAACTTGAGAAAGTAAAACGAACCAGGAGCAGCACAAACGTACAAAACAGCTCAAGTTTACTTCCAGCATCATTCCCAGCACATAAGTTACCCCTCTCCCAAACAGAAGTCTTAGGCCTTTCGCAATCCCATAGCAGTGTAGTTCAGTAGTCCATGGGCTTAGAGTCGTTGCCCATCTTAGCTATGGAAGCGATCTCAGCCTGTTGGATCCCAAGAGAGATACGGGCAGCAGAAGGGAGCAGGCTGCTCCCACCAGACAAGAGGCAGCAGCGCTCTGCTCCCGGGGTCTCGCCGGCTGCCCTGGTTTCTCTCAGAGGGGGGGCACCCCCCTGAACCTGCGAATGATGTTGGCCAGCCGCTTGGCCAGCCCGCCCCCGCCCTGAAACGTTCTGGTCAGCAGGTTGTAGAAGGAGCCATAGCACACGGCCACCACGGTGCAGGTCAGGCAGATGACGTTATAGGGCATGCTGAAGTCTGGCGTCGGCAAGTTCACCAGCAGCGGCTCCGTGTACAGGCGCACAAAATAGCTGGAGCCATCAGAGGAAGGAAACCTGGAGAGCGGAAGCAGGAAAGGGAGTGTCAGCCCGCACAGGACCGCGGCTTCGTGCTCGCCAGATGGGATGACAGCGGCTGGCAGCCCGCAGGCACCACAGTACAGCCCCGCTCCCCGGCACAGGGACACTCACAGCGAGGTGAAGAGAGGGCTCTGCTCCACATCCACGTCCTTCATCGCAATGACGCTGGGCAACAGGGCACTGAGCACAGATGAACTAAGGAGACAAAGCACAGGCTGGCGTCAGCCCTGCCCACAGACAGCAGGCGTTCTGCCCGTCCCCAGAGACCTGGGCAGCAGGTCCTGAACAAGGCCCAGAAGGGGACGAGGAGCTGAGGTATGTCATTACCCAACGTAAAAGCCGTGATTGGGGTCAGGTGTGTACTCTGTCCACTTCAATAAGGCCCTCTCAAACTGGATTGTGATCTTGGTGACAGAGCTGGCTGGCAGCTGGATCAGCATTTCCAAGAGGTGAGGCCGCCTCCGGTCCTGGGCTGGCTCGTAGTGGATGTAACCTAGCCCCAAAGAGACATGTCAGTGGCACCAGGGGGACCTTGTCCCCCATCACACGTTGCCTGGACGTCTCCCACGGCGTGGCTGCTCCTGCTTCCACTGTCCTGGGAGAGGATTTCTGGGAAAGTGAAGACACACAGGCAGAAAACAGCATGTGCTGCAGCTAAATCTGGCTGGTCTTTAGAGCTGATGACCCATGAAAGTCAGGTCTTTGTAAGGAAAGGTACAAATGCAAAGACCCAGTTACCAGTTTTAAATCAAGCCTCCTTTACTACAAAAATCAAATCACTTTGGTTTAGACTCTTGTTGGATTATGAAACACTGTCCACGTGCCTCTTATCAAACAGACTTAATAAAGTCTCATCTGCGGTGAGTGCTGAACTGAAGGCTAGAAAAACATCCTAAGACGTTTTGTTTCCCAGTCCTGTTTCCCAGTGATCACTGGGGCCTGAGGGAGGGACTAAACCATCTCTGGAATGAGCCACTTGTGCCAAGGGAATCGGGTGGCATGTGCTCCCGGCAGGGTTTACTTACTCGGTTTGTTTTCCTTCCCCTTCGTGGTGATAGTCAAGGTGTGCACATAGAGTCGCAGATACCACGGCACGGTCTCCAGCAGCATCACGGGGAAGGCCCGGTACGGGTGAGTGTTGTAGATGAGAGTGCAGATCTGTCCGGTCTGCAGCCCGTATCCGCTCACGTAGCGCTGAGCGTGCAGTACGGGTGTTGGCAGTTCCGCTGCGAAAGAGAAAAGGACAGAGGCGTTGGGGGCAATGCCAGGTGATTTTTAGGCCCGGAGCCCCAACCAGCGGTGCGGGTGGAGCGAAGTTCTGGTCGCTCACAGCTGTCTTGGGGCCGCTTCCACTTCAGCTGCACGTTGAGGCTGCGAGATGTATTGAAGAGTGAGGGGCTCAGCAGGTCATAGACAGCATAGGTTCTCTTGTCTCCCTGGACAACAGCTTCGTGTACTGATGTTGGAGCCGGGGTCACCTCCAGTAACTCCTTTTCCTGAGAAAACGAGTGGACCATGAAAGGAAAAGTGCCGTTGAGGTAACTGGCAGCACTGGGCAAAGCCCCTCTGACTGGCCCTGAGCTCTGCCACCCAACGGCCAGCTCAGGGCTCTCACCAACACCACCACCCACAGCCCTGCTCAGGGGGAGGAAACCACCCGCCTCTGTCAGCCCCGGAGGGCTCCTGGGGGGCCCGGCCATGCAGGGCGTGGAGGCGAGGATGTTTCAGAGCCACACGAAGCGGCTGGACTGAGGGGGCAGGGGTGCTCCCTGGTCCGTGAGCATTACCTTGTTCTTAGGGGAGATGTCAACGTAGACTTTGCTCTCTGACGCTAGAGGACAAGCGTCGGTAAGTGTGCGAGAGAACATCTTAAAGAGGGACCAGTCTGCAGGAGGCAAAGTCAGTGCCAGGCTGAGTGACGTGCCGTGGGCACTCGAGGACCGCAGCGCACTGCCACCGAGCTTACCTTTCTTTCCTTGGCTGCTGCAAAAGCTGTCAAAGACCACAGTGAGGGTCTGTCTGAGCTCCCAGGACACAGCCAGGCAGGAGGCATCCTGGACAAGAGAAAGAGAGGCAGCTCCGGTCATGCCTTCTGGAGGCACAGGACACCAGGAGGGAGCTGGAATGACACCAGGACTGCAAGAATCCCATCAGGACGCAGGTGAGACCAGAGAAACAGGATGGCAGCTGTGCTAGACACAGTGAACCCGCCACCAGGGAGCTGGGCAAACCGGCGTGTCACCTTGCAGCGTCACAAGGCTTTGGATTTTCTCTTGGGGGTGTTGAAGGAGGGAGCCCCGAGCCCCGCGCTTACCCTGCAGATGGGGCGGATGTGCACGGCCTGCGAGTGGTAGCTGCTGTGGAACAAGCGCTCAGCCTTCAGCAGCACAGCAAGCCCAGCCTGCAGGGAGAAAGGGAGAAACTCAGTCCCAGGTCTGTTCTCTGCTCCTGCTGAGAGAAAGGCCCTGCTGAGAATTCCCAGTGCATGCTCCCGCATCGCTGCTGGAAACCCAGCTCCATCAGGAGCGGCCCAGCAGGGCAGCAGGACTTGCCGTTACCTTTGAGCCACATGGGAGCAACTTCTTCCAAGGCGTGAGGTTCTCTGTGCAGACGACCTCCCGGGGCAGGACGGTGTATCGCAGGAGACGGTGATCTGTCCCTGCGCAGGGAGGTGGAGGCTCAGCGGGCTGGTACTGCTACAGGCGTGAGAGCAGAAGCAGACCCGTTCCACCCCGCAGCGACCCCACAGCCCTCCACCCTCTCAATATCCCCAAAATGCCACGAGCTCAACCAGGAATGGATACCACCCTGTTCAGAGTGATTTGGAAATAGATTAAGGGTATCTCCTAGCAGATTTTCTTCTGAGTGCCTTAAACCCTCCAGTCCTCACTGTTTTGTAAAAAGCTTTTCAGAGACAGACGAGTGCCTGGGAGCGTCTGCCACACGCTGCTCGTGGGTTTCCTCTGTCCAAATCCAAGCCTCATTCACAGGGAGAGGAACTGCTTCCAGGAGGAGGTTAACAGACCCTGTCATACACACCCAGAGCTGGAGTCCTCGCAGGACCTGCCCCCGGACTCCCCGCAGAGGCACAGGGCAGAACTAAAGCTAGAGGCAAGAGCGAGAGGGCAGAGCCGGGCCGCCAAGCGCAGGCCGGGCTCACCGTTTGCTAAGCCCAGGGGTTTGAAGGACGCCGTTGGAGTGACCGTGTTGGTCGAGTCAATGAAGTTGAGAGAAGCACAGAATATTCCGGAGAGGATGTTAGTCAGTTCTTTCCAGGCTTTGTCAACACTGGGTGAAAACAGATACCAGAGATTAGTCAGCAGCTCGAATCCTCAGAACAACAAGCATTAAGTCAGTAACATTTAATAAATACAGCGGGGTGACCACCCTGGCGTTCAGAAGCTGCAAGGAGGGTGCAGGCAGAGGCTGCTGTTCTGGCACTCTCCAGCACTCTTGGTATTTTATTCTAACACAGGAGATCTGGGGGATGTTCACCGCAGGGGCAGCACCGGGGCTGGCAGGGCTTCAGACAGCCGGGCGCCCAGCGGTGGGCACGCGAGGAGAGGGGCTGGGAGAGCAGAGAGCACGCGGGAGGAGACGTGCGGTGTACGGGGAAGGGGCCGTGAGACCTAAAGCAACACCTTGGTGCAGCCCTGAAGGGTGACGCAACCAGCAGACCTGGAATGGGCCACTTGAAGGGAGGGGAGAGCTCTGTGAGCGCGCGCAGGGCTGCTGCCGCTCAGCCAGGGGCTGTGGGCGAAGGGAGACGGTGGCAGGCACTGGAAGGAGTCAAAGGCAGCGAGTCACAGACGAGCAGTCACGATATAAACCCTACAATAGATATAAATCCTAGGTGTGTGTCATCACAGCGCCCGCATGGGAATTACTTGTTCCTTCAGTGAACACAGGTTTTTCCCTCAGTGCCACGTCCTGCCCCGTGCGCTGAGCAGGGCCACGCTCTGCCTTGCCCTAGATCTGCTCCTGGGGTTGCAGGCTCTTTATGCCAGCGGCCATTTTACAGCTTTCGCAGGCATGGTGGCGATGGGCTGATGGCTGGACTTGAAGGCCAATGGTATCCTGGGGTGCCTTAAGAAGAGTGTGGCCAGCAGGTCGAGGGAGGTTCTCCTCCCCCTCTACTCTGCCCTAGTGAGGCCCCGTGTCCAGTTCTGGGCTCCCCAGTTCAAGAAAGATGAAGAGCTACTGGAGAGAGTCCAGCGCAGGGCTACAAGGATGGTGAGGGGACTGGAGCATCTCTCCTAGGAGGAGAGGCTGAGGGAGATGGGCTTGTTCAGCCTGAAGAAGAGAAG